CCTGCGACTCTACACCGCCTACGTCAACGACTTCCCGGAGGTCCTCAAGACGTTCCACAAGCTGTGTCGCACGTCGCAGCCTTTCACCAAGTTCATTAAGGTGCGCGGCGGCGACTTGCCCTTTTCTCTTGTGTTCTAGAGGTTGAATAGAGGAACGTATGTCGTTTGGCTCTGTTCTTTTGTTGTTGTTTTTCTAAGGCATTCCTCCATTCACGTGGAGTTCACAACAGTGGTGACTTGCAAGATCTGGTATAGTATTTAACATAGACTGCTTAGTCCTGTTTAGAGTGACAAGAAAAATAATGACTGTTTGCTTACTTTAGCACACGTTACCATTGCACATATATATTTCATTTTGATATGCAACTTCCTTACATTTCTATCAAATATTGTATACATTAATCATCCGTATTGATATAAATATAATTTATTTGCCTGTAAGTGCTAGCGTAAACCTATTTCAATCAAATGCCTCTTTGCAGTCCTGTCTAGAGCAGCCAGCATGCGGCGGGCTGGACCTGGGCGCCTTCCTGCTGACGCCCGTGCAGCGCGTCCCTCGGTACATCCTCCTGATGAAGCAGCTCCTGAAGTACACGGAGCCGCAGCACCCGGACTACCAGCACCTGCACGCCTGCCTGGAGCGCCTGAGGGACTTCCTGGCGCGCCTCAACGACTCCATGGAGCACTCCTTCCAGCTGGTGCACGCCCAGCTCTCCCCCCACGGCACCGTCCCCGGGCCCTCGCACCACCACCCCCCTCCCCCGCAGCCTCCCACGTCGCATCACAGGTACGCCCACAGAAGGCATCGGGGCATCGGGGTAGACTAGTCCGTAGCTGGAACGGTAGAGGACATGCTTCATGCGCTGAATAATACTGAAATCTTAAAGCCACCTGGCTGCTCCCAGTTGTAAAGTTGGTGTTAGTAGAGCTAGTAGACTTCTTGTTATTCTTTGTGTACCTGGCTTGTCTTTTTAAAGGAAGTAAATACATAAATAGAAAATTAAAACCAACAAAAAAAGCCGTGTAAAAGTATTCCGTTGGTCCAAACCCCTACCCTTTAAAAAAATCACATCCAGATCCTACAAATTCCTGCCTTACGTTCCAGGCTCAGTAACTTACTAGGGCTTCATGCATATGCGATCTGCCAGCCTTCCTCCCCTGGGTCGGCTCTCTCCCACCAGCATGTACGTAAAGATCATTAAAAGGCAAGAGAAAGCACGCTGGTACAGACCGCCATATTGCACCCATTATAACCTTCCCTTCCTCGTGACTCGGGAAGTGTTGAGTCAATGCATATGTATCATTTGATAATAGTTTGGTAAAATTTGTAAGGGCTGTGGAAGGCAGTTACTTTATGAATCTCGGGGGAGGGGAGGGGATTTCAACGACTTCTTGAAATAGACTGTTTACGATCTCTTACTTTGTTATTTTTTTACTGAATGATAAGCGTTCTGGTGTATTGAAGAAAAAGGATCATAACAAGCGAAAGACAAGGCTTTCCTTGTTTTCATGTACAATATTGTCACTTCTCATAATCCTATCCTTTAACCTTAAATTTACCGCAATGTTTGGGAACCTTCAACTGGGAACCAGCGTGATTTAGCATTACCGAAAGGAAAACGAGAATGTTGCAGTCATTTTAGACCTATTAATCCGAATGAGCGGTGTGTCCCGCTGTTGCCTCCTTGTGTCCCCCTCCAACGAGTCTTTGGTGTTGACAGGCCGGGCCGCTCGCCTCGACGTTCCAGCTCGTCCATAGGCAGCCCGCCCGTGAGCCCCGGGTCGCCCGCCTACAGCCCGGACCGGGTGAGTTTGGGCTGCAGTCCTCACAGGTCGCCGGAGGATCGACGTCGCTCTCCCGGGAGCTCGACGAGCCTCGCCACTCCACAGCGGTCCCACAGCATCGCCACGCAGCCCTCCTGCCGTCCGCGCTCGGTGTTCCTGGACAACAGGTCTTCGTCGCTGCCCCGAGGCTCCGCCAGCTCCAGCAGCGGGTCGAGGGGCAGCGCCGCCTCGCCCAGCTCGGACGCGCCCCGGACGAGGTCCCGGAGCGAGAGCGTAGCTTCTCGGCGCCCGCTGCCATCCACACATACCCACACGCCCCTGCAGTCTCTAGTCACCCAGGAAGGGCCTCGCACACTGGCGCCCGCGCACTCCGTGGTGGACGTGACGGCGTCGCTTAGTCCTCCCCGCGACGCCCGCTGGGAGGAGCTGGCCGCCAGCGAGCCCTCCCTCTTAGACTCTCGGCCCTCGCAGGAGACGTCCAGGAACCCTAACTCGTCGCTGTCGGCTGCACACAGCGTGGCCAGTGTGGACGGGCAGCAGAAGGTCAGCACGCCTGTGTGGACAGAGTCGTCCCACTCGGATGACCCGCGGAGCAAGAAAAAGTCATCCATCCGCACGTCTCTCAAGAACATGTTCACCTTCAAGAAGAGGTATGTTGAGCACTCTCCCCTCCGCACTCCCTCTCTCACAGCCACAGACTCCCCCCACGCACTCC